GGTAAATGACATTGAGTGCAAACCAGGCAGAGTAGTGCAAATAGGCAAATAGTGCAAATGGAGATTTGGTAATGTACGGTATGAGATAGTGTAACACAAAGTCTTGAAGGTAACTTCATTAACCTGACCTTATTTTGCTTTAAGAGATTTATTTTCAGTAAAAAAATGTGCTCCACACCCCACCAATAGAGTAACTTTTGACATTTTAACAGCATTGCACATAACGTATTTATATTACAACACAAGTAACAAGTGTAGTTAATTGATGTGAAGTTTCTGTATTACAAGAGCATCATCTAGTGGTGAAATGTATGACTACGTCACCACTGGCACCTTGTTTAGCTCAAAAGAGGATTTTTAAAGATCTTGTAATAATATTTTATTTTTATCTTTAATATAATTTTGTTTTCCGTTTGCTTTTCCTCACACTTTGATTCTTTTCTTCTTAAATCTGAAAATCCAGGCCAGTCAGCCACACTAATACTGTCAGTTATGGGTAGAAGAGGTCCGTCTTCGATGACTGCTGAACAAGTTAGCCTGGCAAAAGTCTCAGGTCCTGAGAGTTTTAGCAATGGTGTACTAACTCAGATGGACAATGGAGAAATTCTGGTGACTGTTGAGGCTGTCCCTAAAGGCGAGTTTGTGGTCGTTGTAAAAGGAACTGACAAAGTGTCCAACAGTCAATTTCAGAGGCAGTCAAACACCCAAATGTCTCTCTCCAAAGTGAAGATCCAGGTTTGTCTTTTCAATTTCCCCTTTAATGTAAATGTGTTTTGTTTGACTATAATATCAGATACAATGAGTCTAATTCGAATCAAATTCATTCCATAAATAGATACAGAATAATTAAGCATTCACAAGGTACAAGAACGATACCAGTCCTTTTAAGTTGTTGCTTTTCCTTGTCCACTCTAGGCTGTGGTGGACAGCAGTGTGGAGCCAGGACAGACCTTTAAGCTTCCATTCAGTGTGATGACTCAGAGCTCTGGTGGAAAGTATTCCATCAGTGCCAGAAATGACAGAAAATTCCCCATGATTTTCCCAAATGAGTAAGAGGTTCACTGCTAAAATAATACTTTAAATGTTAAATGTTGTAAAGACTGGCACTGATAGTCTGCTAATATTTACAGCATTTTTATATCTTTGAAGCTTAGTTAGCGTAACTTAGACCAAAACACATAAATTGGGTTCACAGCTATCTTATGTCCTGTTTGAGTATAATTTGTTGGGCCTTTAAAATTATAAAAGGGTTAAGTGACCTGTGTCACCCCAATAATCAGTTGGTATAGAAGGTAAGGGTAAGCAATAGCTGTTATTGCTCCGCCCAAATGTGCTATACAGCATTAGGTTTCTGTCACATCTTTAATGCACATAACAAATGTAGCCCCTGTGGTATTATTATATTTTACTCTTGTCTTGACAGACTCACCCTGGTAACTGGGCAATATGCCAATGCTACATTGACCATAACACCACCTGCCAGCACGCAGTCAGGCACTGATGTCACACTGACTATTGACGCACAGTCATCCAATGGCGTTGACGCAAATTATGCTGTTTTGAGATTGTCTGTTGTTACCAAGGTAAGTCAGTGAAATAAGCAAAAGCGCTTCTGAACATATCCACACAAATTGCTGGTGAAGACATGTCCTACTGATCAAAAGCTGAATGTTGACAGTCCTTTCACACATGTCAAACACATCTTTCTTCTTTTCCAGATTACAGATTTTATTCAGCCATTATGTAAAGTGGTTAGCGTGCAGGATAACAAATGCCCTCGTGATCTATCCCAGTGTGGACATTTCCAGTGGGGGCTCTCAGCTAACATTACAGATGGAAACGGAACTGGGATAGAGAGCATTTCCTTCCATCAGGGTAATGGAACCCTCACATACACCTCATTGAGCGCTCCTATCATCGTGGCAAACTACAATGCCTCCTGCTGCTCACAGACTGTTGAAATAATAGCTGTAGATAAAGTTGGCAATGTGGGAAAATGCTACCAATCAATTGCTAGGTCAGGTGTCCCTCCTGCTCTTACTCTGCCGCTGCCACTGTGGATATGCCTGTTGGTATCTGCCTTCTTAGTAAGGCCTTGAAAGACTCAGGTAACATTATGCTAATCTTGTGTCTTTAATCTGCGCCAAATTTAAATCATTTAAAATAATGCACTTCTGCTATAATGTCTATTTTGCTTACTGGTGTTCAGCTTAAATAAAGCTTCTCTCAGCTTTTCCCTTATTTAA